TGTAGTTTTGGCACTAGCATTGAAAACGACGCGTAATTTTTGTGGTAAGACTGGATTCTTTTAGCACGTGATGATGAGTATATATAATGAAAAAATTTACTTTCTGGATTATCATAGGATAATTCTCCATGTGTCCAGTGATAATATTCGGACATGAAGTCTTTGTACTGTTGATATACTTCGGAGTTTTTTTAATTTTGTTCCAGACTAAGAAAGTTTCGAAAGGCTGATGGTCTGGATTACCTAACTCATTTCTTTAGGCTTGAATGGCAGTTTATGAGTAAACCCTTTTTCACTAACACATGATTTTCCACGAATGTTTTCACACAATCTTTCCTCTTTATTAAAGGTTTCGATGTGGGAATTTGTTCCAAATCCCAAAATGATTTAAACTAATTCCTCCGTGTTTACGTTTAGCGTATTGACTGAAACCTGCTTACGGTTTGGGAATTCAAAATGTGAGTTTCCAGCAATTATCCATCCTAACTTAGAACAACATGCAAATGAAGATTTTTGCCCCTTTTAATTACCCGCCATTTATTAAAGTAGGAATACATTAACTCCAAGTAAAAATCAATTTCTCCCGATCATGAAATGTAGGATCTGCTAAAGTTAAATCTTGGAAATTCATAAATTCAAAGGTAAGTTACACTTGGAATGTTTCCTGTAATTTGTCTATTATGTAAGCGGATGTTGAAATTCTGTAATAGTTAAAAATGAGGTGTAACAACAAGTCAATTCTCCAGTAGTAGTTGTATTGAAGTACCTAGCATGACCTATATCTTCGAATCCTTTATGCTCAATCCTAAATTGATAGCTGTTTTCCGACGAATGAATGATTTTCACTACCTGAATTCTAGTAAACATCTACAATTTATGAATTCTGGTTTGAGTTTTGAACCTTAATTAAGCAGTACACAAAAGTACATGACTACATTTACCATTAGCATGAGCTCCAAAATGTTTATTTTCATAGTTGTTTGCACAAACAGTTGGAGAAACCTCACTCAAGTTGTTTTTGGTTTATTTGCGATTCGGAACAAACACTTGTGCTTCCGGTGAAGGGAATCTAGATGCATTTTTTTGGTTTGAAATTATTTTCTAAATGCAAAATGCTATGATGATGCTTAAAACAATGCTTGCATGTGTTTGCACTCTTACACATTTAACTTTATGGCCATTAGACAAGCAATTAAAACAAAGTTTATTAGTCTTAACAAACTCTATTCGTTTTGCCTGGTAATTTAAAAAATTAGAACACCTGTATAAAAAATGATTTCTTTACAAAATAAGCAGGTAGAATTAGAAATCAGAGAAGTACCCCTATTATACACTGGTTTATCTGATTTATGCGTTTTACTAAACTAAAAGGTTTTACGTCTGTAATGTTCTAGCGTAATTCTTCAAAATTCTATCAAGTCATTTCAAACTTGGGTATTTCAGCTTTTTTTAATTGACGCTCCCACACAACAACTTTGTCGAAACGTCAAGTTTTGCAAAATAATATACACAACAAGTATCACTAAAATTATCTATCCTTTGATCTAATATTCCAATGAGCGAGTTATTTCGTTTATGTTATCTACTAAACTAATATCGAGGATGCAGATTCCTTTGTATTTGTGAAACGTTAAGAATTCTTTTAATAAGCAAATATTTGTTCTCTCTTATTAGAAAAAATCTCCCTCTAGTAAATTCCAAGGCAATACCTGAAATTTTGATCAGCTATGGGAATTGACTGAATAATGGATAAGCATCATTTTCAAAGACTCTTTAAATATTGTAATTTTGAGCTCCAGAAAGATTGAATTGTTGCGAACACTAGCGATAAATAATCTTTAAATGTATCCATTCAGTTAATTTCCGCTAATGTGGGTAAAGATAATTTTGGTAACTTTAACTTTCAGAGATTGATTCAGTACGACAGGTTTGTCGCCATTTGCATTTACTACCTGTAAATCTTTAACTACGAATAATTTTTAAGTGAACCTCCTCAATTTTCTCTAAAATCGACTGTTCTCGTCAACGAAAGTGTCTATTTTTTCATCATCACACTTGTATAAATTTCTCTAAATAGGAGATTTAAAATCTTCCTTAAAAATTTTACATTTTTCTAAGATTAATTCAGCTTCAGCATTATCTAAGTTATCATAATTTATTCTCTCAATGATTTAGTTAACTGTTTTCAAATTTTCTTCGCTTTTTTTCTATATCTGACATTTTGAAAATATTCTAAATTCTCGATTTTACTAATACTTTAAACACACATAGTAGCAATAAGGAAATCTCAAATGCAATTAAAATGCGTTATTTCACTCACCTCGAACATTGTACCATTCCGTAAGTCTTGAGAATTCTAAACCGAAATTCATTATCAACTCCATTACGGACACGGAGAATTCTTATTCACAAGCGCGGGTTTTTCTCGAAGCTCCGGCGTATAACGACCAAATAATGTAGCTTTGCGGTATCTTAACTTTAATTAATAAACCTAAGATACATCACTGGAGTGGACTGTAAAATTTAACCTTTATTCGGCGGTTTGAACTTTCGAACACAACACAGCACAAAAAAACGACAGAGTTACAATTAGCGGTTTTTAAGAATGCAAGAACAAAATGCGAATACGCATACAATCTGCGCATTGCGAAATAATATCTAACAGACAGGCAGAGACTCTGGTGGCTGAACAACAGGCTTCCCTTCTTAGACTCGGATTTAGAATGGGGCTTCTTGCCCTTGCTTCTTACTAGTTCTATTTCCGTAACATGCTCATCCAAGTCCACACCGGATCACTGTCGGGTTCAAGAGCTCTTTTCCCAATATGCTTATCCCTGGTGGATTCTGATATCTCACTCAACATTGTATCGAGCTTCTCTTGTAACTGGTTAAACATGCTTTCATACTTTTGATAAAACCCTGCTAAGATTCGTTCGAAATAATCAGCCTGCGGTTTAAAAGCACTTTCAAAAGATCCTTGCAACGCAGCTATTATTGGAATCATGATTTTCAGGAAACCTTCCTTTGCAGGACTTGACACCTGAGTTCCTGCCACCCTTCGCATAACAATTTTTATTTGCTACAGCCTGCCTTGCTTCTACTACTGGGAACATGAATGGTCAGCACTATATTTTAGAATATTGCCCTCTTCGATGTATTTGGGGCAATTCTTCGAGGATGCTTCATTTGAGTTACTGCACAATGCACACTTGATCTGCACACTCTGGCACTGTGGCCTGGTATTATTTTCGCTACATTTTCTACATCTTACTAATCCTCTACAGCTTTTAATCCCGTGACCAAACCTCAGACATTGAGGACGTTGCCTTGAATTATCATAGACCCTTGTAATCCTATGTCTTGTCAGCCATACGTTTACATGTTCTGGCAAGTGATGTCCTACAATAGTGACAAGTACTCTTTCCGAGGGTTTCTTGTTACTGTCTGGGCTTTTAACCATGAATCTTCTTAAATTTAATACTTCGATATCGTTATTATGATTCAGCTCATTAGCTAGCTCCGAGAGCTCGACTTCTACTGGAATAGCCGACAGAAGAAATTTGCTTGTCAGTTCAGTCATGACAAGCATCGGGGAAACCTTTACGTTATGCAATTCAGATATGTTTAATATTTGCCACTCGCATTCAGCCACTGAGGTATTTATCAGAAGCCTTCCATACCTTATCATTTTAATGAAGTCAATATTTTTAACTAAAGCCACTTTGCTGGATATTTCATCTTTTAAAGTTTTAGGATTGTTTACGTTAATAATTTTCTCTATACCTTTAAGAAAAACAGTGTAATTTCTTACGCCTTTCTCATGACAAATTTTTAATAGACGTTCGAACGATAAGGGCGGTTTATACAGAAAGTCCGGGCTAGACCCGTTCACAGAGTTCCACTCCATTATTCTTCATTATAATTTGTGTCTGAGCGCAAAATAAAATGGAAAATTCTCCTACCTGTATGCTTTTCAGCAAACACCAAACCAGGAAAACAAAATAATCTGTTTTTAACTTTACTTAAAGCGCAAACAAATCACTACAATAGAGGAAGAAACCCGTACTTTAACTGCAGTGGCTAATCGCACCGACTGTGCGAATAGCTAACAGGCTATTCACACCACCTACGTTCGCGCATGCTCAAAATCAACCCAGGTATCAGCATTTTACGCCAATTTCCGTAAGGCAGGTGGTAGTGAGAGCGAATGTTGTTAATAGTTCACCAGCAAGAGAATAATTTGTACGTAATAATTATCAGTTACAATGAGGTCAATCTATATACATGATAATGTTCAGGAAATGATTAGATAAAATAGGGATTTAATGATGGTTCTAATTGCAAGCGAGGAGAGTAATTGGTTAAAAATCGTTAGTGTACTGACAAAAGGCTACAGAAATTACTTAAATTCTATTTACAGAGGAATTTTTATGCAAACTTAGACCCCATTCTTATAGCATAGGACTGTCAGAATTTATTATTCAATAAGAAAACTTGCTGAAAATGATAATATTCTTATATATTCATCACTTTTTCAGTATCCACACAGTTTTATAGGTTAAAATGCCATATTTCAAATCAAGTTATTTATGAAATAAAAACCTTACAAATCTGATAAATCATTTGTTGTGCAAATGTTTAAATCTAAAGTCTTTAAATCTAAAAATTAAACTATTTCTGTCTTTAAAATTACATCCCATTATTATTTCAATTTAAATTGATTAATGTGTTTGTACTAATATTTCAAAGTTCTTTGAAGCACTTTTGTGTCCTGAAAATGCCAAGTATTTCCATAAAAAAAAAATAAGCAGGCATACAGAATAATTCATTTAATAGTTGATATAATCGCTTTTAAACTTATTTCATTTCTAAATTTCCACACAGAAATCCTCTGTCTAATTTTTAGTATCTTTTATCGACGACATTTTTCAAAGGAATGAATTAAAGTCTTGACTGCGCAAACACACCTTTAAAGCTAAATGTATTCTAAGAAGTACAAAAAATGTAAACAGATTTTGTCCCCCCCCAAATCAGACATTTAAACTGAAAAGGATAAACATTGCGAACATAAAAATCTGCTCTTTTTTATACATACTTTAATAAAAGAAAATGTGCTCCTTCTTTTTATAAGAAAAGGAACCCATTTTCCTTTCTAAACTTTTTAAAGTCGCCAACGCTTAAAAAATGGTAAACTACGCCAAGGTAGAAATCTGCCTTTTTTTAAAAAAAATGATTCACTGCAGCAGTTCGCGTATGTAGAATCCGTTCCTTTCGATGGGGTTCAATTGACGAATCTGACAACTCAATGCGCATGCGTGGTTAATGTTGGTGCGATTAGCTTCCGGTGGTGCGAATAGCATCGGCCTGCTTTAACATGTAGCGCTTCGCCGAAGTAAACAAATGAGAGTCGAAGAATTCACCACACAGCTTCGTGTCCTTCAACTGACCAGCATATAAAAAAAATCCACCTCAATCAAGTTCTATCGTGGGAAGACTTCGTCAAAAAGAGAATGATTACGCCAAACAAAAGATAAGTCAAAATTATTCTATTTAAATTTATTTTAAAATCTAGTGCGAAGTTGGTTGAAAATACACTACTCGTCATTGAAAATGCAACACCAGAAGGAGTGGTCAGAAATTTATGCAATTTTAATGTAGACGCACGTCACTGAGTTATGCAAATGAATGTTGAAATGCGTAGCTCTCTGACGCACGTGAAGTAAGATATAAGGGAAGGAACGTGCAGAATGGGGCAGGATTCGTGTCGTATTTTCTGCCAGGCGAAATTATCGAAGAAAGTTGGTTTTTTGTCCCGGAGGACGTGTATAGGAGAGAAATGCCAGGCCGCTGTCAACGAAGGCACTTCCAGCAGATAGACGATTTTACGAGGGGTGTGGCGATCGGACTGAAAAGGGCGAGGGCAGGTTAGTCCTTACGTCAAATCGCAGCTGATATCCACATGGATGCGAGTACGGTGCATCGGCTATACCGAACATGGTTGGAACAAGAAAATGTGGGAAGAAGGAGGGGTGCAGGTGCAGCCAGAATGACGTCAGCACGCGTGGATTGACGCATCCGCCGATAAGCTGTGGCGGTCCCGCAAGTCACTTGTACCGCGATTCTGCAGCACGTGCAAGATACCTTGGATATTCCCGTGTCGACCAGAATCATTTCCTGTCGGTCGCTTGAACATGGCCTGCACTCACGGCATAAGAAGACTACTATTGACCCCACAGCATAGAAGCCAACTTTTAGAATGGTGCTGGACTGGAGCGATGTGGATGACAAAATGGCGAAACGTCGTGTTTTCAGATGAGTCACGCTTCTGTTTATCCAGTGACAGTCGCCAAATACTTGTGTAGCATCGACGTGGAGACAGATCTAATCCGACAGTAACTGTGCAACGCCCCACCGCGCGACAACGTGGCATAATGGTTTGGGGCGCTATTGCCTACGATTCCAGGTCACCTCTAGTTCATATTCAGGGCACTATGACGGCCCAACGATACTTGGATAATGTACTACGGCCGGTGGCAATCCCTTGCCTTCAGGGGCTGCCTAATGCAATTTTTCAAACGACACAGTTCTCGCATCAGCCAACAGGCTCTGCAAGGTATACAGATACTTCCCTGGCCACCGTACTCTCCTGACCTGTGACCAATTGAACATGTGTGGGATGTGATTGGATGCCGTTTGCAGACTCCGCCCCTGCCTTGTTCAGAAGACGAACTGTGGCAAATGGTTGAATGGGAATCGAGAGCCATCCCTCAGGACACCATCCGCACTCTTATTGACTCTATGCCTAGACGTGTTTCTTCGTGCATCGCTGTCCACGGTGGTTCTACATCCTACTGAGCCGACACCGTTCTCGCTCTGTATTCTGACTATCATTTTGAAATAAAGATTACTTATTACTGCTTGCTGTATCTGTCTTTTTTCCAAATTTCATGACTTTCTGACCACTTCTTGGTGTTGCATTTTCAGTGTCGAGCAGTGTATTTATGTCCGTTTAGCCTCGGGAAGAGGAACTGAAGGCGTAAGATTTGCTTGTTGAAGGTTGGCCATGGAGTTTGCTTTCCCTTATGTAAGGTTTCTGCTAAGAGTGCCAGGTCTGCTGCACTGGAAGACATCACCTCCATGATATTGAGTGTGGCTGCCCTTGAGCTTTGGAGATTGCAGTGTAAAATTTGGTTGTTGAACCGCTTCTGCTATAATTTTTCTCTGTTACTGAGTAGACTCCCTGGCCAAGCTCATTATCGCCAGTTCTTGTCTGTAGCATGGACATTTCAATGCGCTTGCTGGATGTTGTTTGTCAAAGGTGCTACCTGTCTTCTCGTTCGTGAGGCTTCAGTTTGACCCATGTGGTAGTAATTGAGTCGCACTTTTCTATCGCGTGTCCTTTGCCACACTTGGAGCAGGCTCTTTCCGATTTACAGTAACGTCTGTAGTGCCAAAATTCTTGGCAGTTGTAGCACCGTCTCTATTTTTTGAAATTGCAGGCGCAAAGTCCAATATAGATTTTCTTTTGTAATAACTGTTGGGCCTGTTCCCTTGCAACACCCACTAGCCAATGGCAGTGTTATCCTCCTTTGGGTAGGAACGAATAAAGAATATAAACTCCTTCGTGTTACTTGGGAACAAGTTGGAGAATGCCTCTGTGATATCTGTAGCTGTACTGTCTTGTGGCACTTACTAATAGTATGCCTAGGCTGTCTGGGCACTCTTACACTTAATGAGTTTTCTAATTCCGAAATTGCACTAATGGTATTCCTGAGTTTGTCTTCCCTCTACTCCTAATGAGTATTTCCTGTGAGCGCGTAGACCTTACTTGGATGACTTTAATCCCCGCTTTATAAGGCTTAATGCTACCGACTAGCTTCTTTTTGTTGCCAATGGGATTACGAGGGTGTTGTGTATTTTGAGCTATTTCTAAGCAACTAAATGATCAACTCAGATGTTTATTGACAACAACTTATGAAATATGAGAAAGCAATCAAAGAGAAAAGGTCAGAATTGTAAATCATAAAGGAATCATGTTCCACTATGAGAATGCAAGGACTTGGACGATGTTAATCCCCACTTTGTAAGGCTTAATGCTACTGACTAGCTGCTTTTTGTTGCCAATGGGATTACGATGGTGTTGTGTATTTTGAGCTTTTTCTAAGCAACTAAATGATCAACTCGGATGTTTATTGCCAACAACTTATGAAATATGAGAAAACAATCAAAGAGAAAAGGTCAGAATTCGTAAATCATAAAGGAATCATGTTCCATTATGAGAATGCAAGGACTCACAGATTTTTAGCAACGTACAGGAAATTATTGGAGCTTGGTTGGGAAGTGACGTTGCATCCCTCATGTAAGCCTTATCTTGCACCATCGGATTATAATTTATTTTGAAGTTAACAAAACTTCTTCAATGGTAAAAATTTCAGTAATAGTGATGTGACCTCAAATAGTACTTGGTCGAGTTTTTTGCTGATGAAAATAAGAAGTTCTGTGAGTGTGGAATCATGAAGTTTCCAGAAAAATGGCAAAAGCTCAACAACAACAAAAAATATTTCACTGATTAAACTGCATTTTTTATACAGAAAAAAATTTAGTTTTATTTTACAGTAAAAACCTAAATAACTTTCTTGCCAACCCGATGCAATCTTGAACAGTTGATGAAAATATGTAATAACTTATCATTAAGAAGCTGTTTTTTATTACTTGAGTTTCTTTTCAGAATTTCAACTATTATTACTCTTTGTTTCCACTTTAAAAACCATTAATAAGCAATATTTCTTTTTTATAAAATATGTAATTTTTTACAGGAAGAAAAGAACATAATTCCTGATGATCCAGCAAGTGATCCAAATTTCAGAGAACCAGACGTAGACAATATGAGAGCTCAAAAGAAAAAGGTAACGGGAAAAAATGTTAATATAATTAAGAAAGAAGACTTGCTTCACATTATTTCGTTAATATATAATTTTTTTAAGATTATATTTCAGTTTTATACAGTTTTAGATGTTTTTGATTTGTTTGTGTGGTTATATTTGCATGTGTAAGTTAACATGTTGAAAGTAGCTGAATTAGATAATATTTACTTAAATGATTTCCTCATTCATAACAAAGATTAGAAATCACAAAATTGTGCAGATAAATTGCAAATGAAGTGCAGAAATAATTTAAGAAAAAATGCAAATCAATTTAATACAGTCAGAAGTCTTTAATCCGGACGTCCATAATCCGGACCTCAAAGCAACAAACTTTCTGTGCATGCGCATATGTGTTTATGCATGCGCATAATACGTTTACACATGCACGTTTAATGTGTAACGGACCGTATAGGCTAAGCTAAAATTATCTAATTATCTATTTCAGTTAATGTTGCGTTGTTCCTTAATCTTCTAATTGGATCCGGCTTATTACTTTTTGCAGACTGTTATAAGAGCAGTTTTGCAGAGCAATTTTATAAAAGTAAGCTTGAACTTTCGATTATGTAAAAAATAATTTCTTATTCTGGAGCTGCCAAAGGATCTACAAAGCGGAAGCATATTTCGATGTCCATCAAACAAAAAGTGGAATTACTGTCATATCAAAATTAAAGTTTAAATTTTTGATTACACAAAAAAAGAGTTCCTAATTCTGGAGCTGCAGCAAAATCTCTAAAATGAAAGCATGTTTTGGTATCAGTCAAGCAGAAATTAGAATTGCTGCAAAAAATGGATAAATGCGTAATTTCCGCGCATAATTTTGAAATGGATACAATATCTCAAAATTATGTGCGGAGTATGGCATTGGAACTGAACAAGAGCGTTCCTCCCCTCCCCCCCCCCAAAGAAAGAAAAGAGAACTTCTTTAAGTTTGTGCATATTCTAACATCCCACTCACCCTGAATAACAGCATTTTTTTTTTTTTTTTTTTCCTGCTAAAAGTGACAATCATGACAAAGTGAAGGCTGAATGGCTGAGACAGGATTGCAGCAAGGCCATGCCATTGATTGGTCCATTGCTAATGACTGAAGCCAAATATTTCATAGGAAAAAGGCTTGAAAACTGAATGCATATGCTTTACAGATTAGGTAACCAAATTTAAAAACTGCCATGAAATTTTAAATTTCAGGGGAAATAGCTCCATCTGATGCTGAAGCAGCTGCAAATGCATTCATTGAATTCATTAATAGCAAAATGTTACCTCCAGAGCAAATTTATAAATTAAATATTTATAAACAATATTTCTTTTGTGGTAATATGTGCTTCGAGAGCGTTGGTGCAGAAAAACCTGCAACTGGTGTCAAAGATTCCGAAGTGAGACAAACAATTTTGGGCTGTAAAAATGCTGCAATAATGCACAAATTAAACTGTTTGTAACTGGCAAAAGCCCACCAGCAGCCAAGCGGTAAAGTTGCTGAACCCTGGTAGTTCGGTCCGAGGTTCGAATCCCACGAACGGGCTGGCTGCATGGGCGTTTTTGTGGTTTTCCCCATGTGTAACGTGTATACGAGCCAGTTTCCCTTAGAAAGTCCTCCCTCCTCTTAGGCAGATAGCCCTTGTGTGCTTTGCCATCATTAAATACACCACCACCACCATGTAACCGGCAAAAATGTATGATTTCAGGCGTTTAAAGGAGTAAAGATTTCTCTTGTCATCTAGAACTTAAATCGTGCCAGAACCCGTCTCCGTTACTTCTTAGTTTCGGGGATAAATCATAATTCTAGCCGGAGTGCACAGGAGCTCTAAATAAGTATGATCGGGCCTTCTTTCATGCCAGAAAATACAACCTCGAAATTTATTTTTATAATTAAAATAAAAAAAAAAATCTGAAAGCTTTCAGATTTTGTATTACTCCCAAAAGGGTTTTTTTTTTAGACACATACATGTTTCGAAGCATTAGGCTAGTATTACAACATTGTGCTAAAAATATTTAAAAACAGCATATCTTTGGAATTTCGATTCGATCACGCACTGGAGATAAAAAATGTTTTATTCTCTACAGCGTTGCCACAGCTCAATTTAGAATTGTTGCATGTTTTAATTAAAAATTCATTATAGTTTTATAAAATATGAAATAGATAATAAAACGAATTCCAAATTCGGGCTTCCAAGTACCCATGTTCGAGTGGAGGACTATGTTACTCAAAATTTGATGACTCTAAGCACCACTGTTTTTTCACAATGCAAGAAACCTACATATACTAATGTAGATTCTTCATTATTTAGTTTGTTTAAATATAATATTGGGTGGCAACAATTTAAAAAGTGATTCAGACATTTAAAGTGATTCAACGCAAAATGCTGTTTTGAGACTAATAGCCCATTTGGGCAAATTACGTTAAAAGTCGCTTATTTTAATTTAAATTATTTAATTACTTTAAATTTTTAAACATTTAATATTAATCATTAGCCGAAAGATATAATTTCGTTTTGGTATTTTGGCGTCAAAACTTTAAAAGTTTGAATCACTTTTCAAATTGTTGCTACCAAATATTATCGCCGTGTATTATATTTGAAGAAATTAAATAATGAAGAATCTGCATAAATGTGTGTACGTTTCTTGCATTGTGATAAAACGATGGTACCTAGAGCCATCAAATTTTGAATACCGTACGTCTCCACCTGAATATGGGCATCTCAAAGCCCAAATTTGGAATCTGGGATTTGTTTTATTATCTATTTCATATTTTTAAAGCAGTTATGAGATTTTGATTAAGAAACTCGGCGATTTTAGAGCGAGCAATGATAACACAGTACAGGGTAGGGAAGAAAAACATTTTTATCTCCAGCGCGCGAGACTTCTAAGGATATGCTCTTTTGAAATTATTTTGTGATATTGCTGTTGAATTGAATTTTATGGTTTAAGTGTGAAGACCATGATATTTAATAAATAAAGGTAACATTAAAAAAACGCCCCTTTGGACGTAATATAAAATCTGAAGGCTTTCAGATTAAAAAAAAATTTTTTTTAATTATTAATGATTTTATTAGTCATCTTGTTTATTTATTCTTGCTCTTCTTTGCTAACGGTCTGCCGTAGGGCTCTGGCACTTCTAATTTTAGAAATAAAGGATCATCTATTGTAATAAAAAGCATGAAAGGCACACAAATTAATGATTGATCAGCTTTGAAATTCATTTAACACATGAGGCTTGGCAATATTTGAAATTGGTTGATTCATCAGATGATGCAAAAATTGTACTGATGATAGACTAATGTTCGGCTCTTACTTAAAATATTATTTAAGGTTTATTAAAGTTTTAGAAAAGATAAATCTCCACCTTATTCTTTCCTCCAAACTTAACATCCATCATTCACCAAATAGGTGTTGGTGTACTGCGTATACTAAAAGGCAGATATAAAGTAGCCTTTTTAAAATCTGTGCTAAATTTTCTGCAAAAACCAATCAAGAATTTCTGAAATATTTTGACGTAAAACATGTTATGTAGGGCATTGCAAAGTCATGAGAGGATGTATTTGCAGATATTCTAAGAAATGCTTCTCAATAATTTGCCATATTTCATGGTGATGATAATGATGATGATGACAGCTACGAATCTGCAGCTTTTGCAAGAAAAAGGGAAAATTCTCCAGTGAATGGAAAATGTCAAGAAAATGCGGAGAAATGATAATAAATAGAAATAGTATAATAGAATTTCCATTGAAGTTTGCAAAGACAACTCTCCCAGTCATCAGTCAAACAATAGGCAGTGAAATCTATAGTACAGTTTTAAAACCAGAAAATATCAGTACCACTAGTGATAAAAGTAACAAAGAGATTGTTGAAAATGAAAAAACTAACAGTTCACAGAGGGAATTCTTGCAGAACTTGAACAATGAAACTTTATAATTGAATAAGAAATTGTGTCTATATATAAAATTAAAGTGAAAATATTAGCAAAAAGTGGCTTAAAAACTTCTTGACTTCTTTGAAATATATGTTCATTAAAGCAAATAAAGAAATATAGAGGGTGTTTTTTTTTTTTTTTTTTTTCCTTCTTCTTAAGGTTATCAATACTTCGCTATTTTATAAACAACTGTTTCAAATTTTTTATAATTTGTACATGTCACGCTAGATTTAAAATGAAGATCTAATATCCAGAATTGCAGAAATCCAGACGATTTCTGATCTTGAACTTTATACCTTATCTGAAATTAACAGGAAATTCTTGAACTATGCTGGAACTTGAAATAGAAATGAAATTTAAAATATCAACAATAAAAAAATTTGAGTTTGCTGAAACCTCAAATTCAAACCATTGTAACTCATAATGGATGTTGTTTCATACATATATGATTACTTCCTTCTTCTCATTGCTTTACTTAAAAAGGAAGGTCTGCTCTTATTAAATTTCATAGCAATCTATAAAAAGTTAGTTTTTTGTTCTTTTCACTTTAGAAAAGTGCTTTCAAATGAGGCTGAGGAGTAAATTTGAATATTAGGATTGATAGTAGATCAGCAGAATTAAAGTAGGTTCTTGCTTCATCAGTCACCTTCCTCTTTTTTAATTGGTTCATTTTGAAAAAGTACTTTCAAAAGAGACTGAAGAGTTAATTTTTAAAAGTCCTTTCAAAACAGACTGAAGAGTTAATTTTTATATTAGGATCCTCAGCATATAAAGAGAATTAAGGTAAGAGTGTGATGAAATATTAGTAAGCTGAACCAGGAAAGCTTATTTTCAGGCTTTATCAATCTTTTATTCGCCCCCCCCCCGTCATTAGACTCCACCTTGAAATCCAAGTTTGTGTCTACTTCTCTATTATGGTTTTAAACACTGGCGAAGCAGAAGTATCTCAGTATAATGAGCAAAGTTTTAAAAGCATTGATTTGCTTTGCAACATCATACTTGTGGCAACGAATCAGAGCTCTTAAACGAATATTTTTCACAATAATCACTGTCAAAAACGGGAAATGAACAACTCTC